TAGCCATGTATCTCATTTACATACATGTATGTTTCATTAGCATACTTTTTCCCCACCTAGGGGCGTGATTTTTAGTATTTTAAATGAGCTCTTTGACCCAGTACTCTGATTCTGCTTTTGTTTTCAAGCCTCCTTTATCTAAGACTGTCTCCTCCTTATCATTGCAGATGGGCATTCGTCACATAACATGCACTTTTGCTTGGTCTTTGCATAGTGGTTTCTAGGTCACTCCTTACAACTTCAGGGAAATAGTCCTGGTGAAGCTGGTTGGCACTCAGAAAACTGCCAGCATTTGGTACATTTTGGTTCAGGTAGTCCTTGAGCTTTGAGTGATTGAGTTTCTCCAGCTGGGTGTTCGTCTCCATAAAAGCCTCCACAGGGGAGGCTTCCCCTTCCTTGCCAAGCTTCTTTCCATGGTCCTTTTAAACAGGGAGGACATGGTCACTTGCCTCTTGCTCTGACCTTCAGCTTCTGCAGCTGCCTTCCTCTTCATGTGTGCCTTGGACTTCAAGTGACAATCAATGCTAGTTTTCCTGGGCACATCCAGAGTTAGATTGCAAGGGACACAGAAGAGTTTGCCTCTGTTTGTGTGCAAGGTTCCTGTGGGGTACTGTTTTGCACAGTTCACCACTGAAATGTATTGGGCAATCTTGGAAGACTTTGTCATGTTCATATCTGGTCTCTCTCAGCGGGGATCTAGCATGCATGCTGCAGGAGCATGCTGTAGGTGCCAAAACCCTCCTGGCTTCCCTGGCTGCCCTCTGACTGACTGGCTACTGGATTGAGCCTACATCACGGACTTAGCCTCCAATTTGCTCCCTCTCCTTCCCACCCTTTTGTGGTTTTGCAGCTCTCTTCCTCCCTTCACCCCCCCCCACCAATTTTGTTGTTTTTTGTGGTCCTTGTGCTTTTTTGTGGAGATGGGCCAAATTCATGATTTCTGTGAAAACTGCAAATTCAGTAGATCGCTACTCATAATACTGCATGGTCAGGAGGAATATTTTGTCCAAGAGATTCTAGACTCAAAATGGAAGCAAGGTAAATTATATTACTTAGTAGCTTGCACACCAGACCTTTAAAAACTGTGTATGCAGCTGGGCTGCACACATGGATTTCTGACTTCCTGGTGCCCAGGGACCCTGGGATCAAGGAGCCTCTCCCTGATCCCATGGTCCCCATACATCAGGGATGTCCGAAAACCACTCATGCAGTTCAGCTGCGCATACATTTTTAAAGGTCTCAGCATGATTGGACCCAGGAGTCAGGGAGAGACTCCCCGATCCACGGTTCCTTGTGTAGCAGGATCTGTTAAAACTGTGTGTGTAGTCTAGATGGGCTACACACATGGTTTCTACTCATCACAACATATGGAACCCTAGGATCAGGCTGCAACAGCCTGATTCTGGATTCTCTGTGCTCTAGGACCTGTAAAAATGACATGTGCTGCCCAACAGGGTTTTGACAATCAGCTGATTGTTGACTGTGGCCAATTCCAGACCCCAGTTTGGTCCCTGGTCACAGCTGACAATTAACTGATTGTGGACATCTGACTTTCAACTTGCTGGAGCAGGGGGTGCCATGGATTATGATTCTGAGGTCCCATGGCACTGGCAAGTAAGGCATGATTGGGGTCTAATTCCTGATCCAAAAATCAAGCATCCAGTGGCAGGTTTAATGCTTTTATATGTACATCTGTCAGTGGCTTGGGTTTCATATTTGAGGGCTCCATGGTATAGGTAGGTGTAAGGATGGGTGGGGTTTGAAGGGTACTGGGCTAGGATTATGGCTGTGTCTATTAGGGCATAGTAAATTCTGTTCTAACCCCTGTTGAGTCAGTCAGCTTGAGTCAATCAAGCTCTATATTAAAGCAGTTGTACTTTTTGCCTCCACTACTCAGATTGGAAAGCTTTTCAAAAGCCTCACTGTTTTTAGTCCAAATTTATTCATGCCCAGTTTATTCCTATGATTTTTGTGTCAACATTTTTTATCTTAAATACATTTTTTCTCATATTCATGTTTACCCACTTGATGAATTTATAGATAGGAGGTGTATCCCTTCTATTTCTGTTTTTCTCTGCTAAAAAGCCATGTATTTTTAATCTCCTTGTATATGATAGATCATTTTATCCTACCTAATCCAATATGAATTCATCTTTCTTGAACATGGATGGCCAGAATTATGCACAGTATTATAGATGGTGTTTTACCAGTGACTTGCATTATTACAATAATACTTCCTTATTTCTATTAAATATACCTTGCCAGATATGTCCTAGGATCATCTTGGGCTTTTTCATTCCCATATCATATTGCTGGCTGCATGGGCAGATCTAGGATTTTGAAAAGGAGGGGTGCAGGTGGTGAGGTGCCTCATCACATATACCACAGCATATCATTTTCTCCAATAAAAAAACCTGAATCTTTACTATTAGGTTAGGGGCCGAGGGATATATTATTCAGTGTAAGACTAAAGCATAAACAAATATAATTTTATTGGAAAGTGCATTAATTTGTTATATCATATATAAAGCACAAAAATAGGGAAAAAATCAAAATATGTTTTGTTAGTCCTTTAGTCATTAGAATTAAATGAACACCTCTTTTTCAGTTAGCATCTTGACAGTGCATCCAGTGCTTCATTGAAAGTTCTTTCCACAGCTGAGTTAACGTATTACCTGAGTTAAGGTTTCCACACCTGAGTTGGCTAGAGTTAAAAACAGTGTTCAGAGCTCTGATATAAGAGCAATGTTACCAGGAGCAGCTAACAGACAACAGAATTTCAGAAGAAAGGATAGCTTGATGAGTGGAACAACATGACCATTAAAAAGGGAGAAAGGGTTGTTAACACCTGTGGAATGAAGAGTTTTAGGACTCAGGTAGATTACACTGAACCATGAAGTCAAGTGACTCCCTCACTGCTGCCTAAATAGAAATGCTACTGCCACTTCCAGGCAATTGGTTTTAAAGTTTGGGTGGAGCAGAATCAAAGGTGGACGCAGCTGCAGCCCATGGCTGGCTCCTATCAACCTGTGATCAGCCAGCATACCCTAATCTTTCACAATCTCACTGCAAAAAGTCTGTATTGTTCCATAAATGCATAACCTTGCATTATTGAAATTAATTCAATTTCTATTACTCTAGATCTCAGTCATCCAGTTTTTCCTGTGTGGTATTCAAAGTTTCCTCTGTATTGACACAACTTCCCAACTTTGTATAATCAGCAGGTTTCATCAGCACGCTCATTTTTTCTGAGAAGGCTATTAATGAAAATTAAGATTAATTCCACACAGTCATTGAAGAATGATCCATCTGCTATTGTATCTCCTTGAGCTGGTTTCTTGTCCATCTTAAAATTGCTGAGCTATTTCATATCTTCTCCAGTTAAAATGATCATTTCCCACATGTCACTGTTTCATGTGTTTTACTGAAGTCTAAGTAGTTGAGGTCCTATTTCTCTGATTACAGTAGGATCAAGCAACAGAAGGCAATTTTTAGCTCATAATTCTAAACCCATGTTTCCAATCAGCATTGCTTAGAAAGCTCTTTCTTTGCTTCTCTGTTAAAAATGCGCTGTTATTAGTGCTTCTTTTGGTATCTCCTGGCTTTGCGCTTCCTGATGAAGCATATGTTCATATACCATATTTTCTTACATACCACATGCCCCCAAATAAGACATGCACCTATTTTTTTGGAAAACAGAATGTAGAAAAAAAAGGCTTTTTCAGAGGCATGGCCTAGAACTGCCTTTTTAATGGAGAGGCAGTGCTACAAGACAGCTACCAGCTTCTTTCTGAGACAATAAACAGGAGAGATGAAGTCCAGTATTAACTCTTAACTAACACTTTCAAATTGGCAACAATTTTTGGCTGCTCATGTGGTGGCTTAGCCAAAAACTTGCCAGTTTGAGATGGGCTGTGAAAGGGTTAACATTGGACCCTACCCCTATTGCATACTACCTGAGAGAAAAACTGGCAGCCATCTTATAGCACAGCATCTTCATCCTTCTGATCCTCAATGCTTCTATTTCAGTGAAGAAAAATCATTTTCCTCGTATAAGACACATACCCCAATTCTGGAGAGCTGATTTTTGGGGGAAATGATTGTGCATGTGTGTGTGGGGCGGGGAGGTGGTGTGCAGGTAAACATGGCATTTCATCACTCATCAGCCACTCTGTTGGTCTCTCAGGGAAACTGCTTGGACTGCATTACCAGTACAGGTCAGTCGCATCATACGCGCATTTAACTTATGCAAATTCAACTATATGGGGGGGGGCTTGAGTTTGCATGTGGCGCTGCCGCTTACCTGGATGCCCATTATGGCGGTGATGGCCACTGCCTCCAAAACCTCCTGCTGTTGCCATGGAGCCGTGCCCAGAGCTGTGTGGCCAGCCGCCGGGTGGCATCGTGGTGGTGGCCAGGCGGCACGCAGCCATCCCCGCCACCACCCCACGCTGCACCGCTGCCCCTGGCCGGACAGCTCTCAACACGGGTCCGCGCG